CCTATGTCTGTGGTTTGTGTGTGACTTTGAGCAAGTGACTTGACCTATTGAGATTCAATTGCCTTTTTTTTTTTTAATTTAAGAGATGGGGTCTCACTATGTTGCCCAGGCTGATCTTGAACTCCTATGTTCAAGTGGTCCTCCCACCTTGGCCTCTCAAAGTGTTGGGCTTACAGGCGTGGGCCACTGCACCCAGCCTAGTTGCTGGATCTTGACTGTGGTTAGTCTGTCTCACTGTGCCAACTGAAATGCTGCCAGTCATCGCCCAGGCCTTGCACATGTGTTCCTGTCCCATCTGGAAGGAACTCTCTTTCCAAGATGGTCTGAATTGTCATTCCTTCCCCTAGACCATGAGCTCCTCAAAGGCAGAGATGGTGTTGTTCACTCCTGGATCCCTGGCATCTTGGGGGATGCAGGTGTTTGTTGAATGAATGAATGAATGAATGAGTGTGGTCTCTCTGTCACAGGATAGAACACCTGGGACTCAATGTGGTGCTGCAGCTGCTGGTGGGGGTGCCCCTGGAGATGGTGCATGGAGCCACCCGAATTGGGCTTGTCTACGTGGCCGGCGTTGTGGCAGGTAGGCAGGTAGGCCCTGTGTCCACAAAGGCACATTGCCCCAGGGTGGGGTGGGAGACCCTGTGGGGTGGGACAAGCCCCAGGCTTCCAGGACACACAGAAGATCCTCATCTCCAAGGCTCCTGACTTACCGGGCTGTCCTCCAGGCACACGCACCTCCCCAGGAGGCTGGAGAGGGGACTGCTGCCCAGAGAGGGAGGTGTGTGGCAGGACGGGAGAGGAGAGCACTGGATTTGGGACAGGCTGGCCAACCGACTCAGTCTCACACCACCATGTGGTAGCTTCTGAGCTTGGGGAAATTTCCTAACCTCTTTTGGCCATGTTAAGCTTTAAGAGGGAACTAATGAGATCTGCCTATAGGGTTGCTCGGAGGGTGGAGTGAGTGAGGCAACAGATGGAACAACAGTGCTCTGATAACTGCAAGGGCACAGTGAGATCCCCAAGGGGGAATCAAAGGGGTGAGTAGCGCCAGGTACCGTCCTGGCCGCATAGCACCTGTCCCCAAAAGGAGAGCTGGCTGCTACCCAGACTAACCGCAGTTCCCTTGCCTGACCCACTGCTGACAGGGAGTCTGGCCTAAGAGGCAGTGAGCCCTGGCTCCATCTGAAGGCGTCTGGGCCTCCAGCTGACTGGGCACACATGTGGCAGGTGATCATCCTTCATGGATAGTGGCCAGAGTGACTTCCAGTGAGCCTTCCACCTTCTGCCCCTGATGTATCTTTAATGCCTGCACTTGTTTTGAGAACATATTTTTCTTTAAACATCCGTAGCTCTTACAAATAGAGCCAGAACATGGCTGGGCACAGTGACTCATGCCTGTAATCCCAACACTTTGGGAGGCCAAGGAGTGGATCACTTGAGTTCAGGAGTTCAAGACCAGCCTGCCCAACATGGTGAACCCCTATCTCTACTAAAAATACAAAAATTAGTCGGTGTGGTGGCACATGCTTGTAATCCCAACTACTCGGGATGCTGAGACAGGAGAATTGCTTGAACCCAGGAGGCAGAGGTTGCAGTGAGCCAAGATCATGCCACTGCATTCCAGCTTGGTTGACGGAGTAAGACTCCATCTCAAAAAACAAAACAAAACAAAACAAGAACAAACAAACAACAAATAGAGCCAGAACGACCACATGACCCAGTGAATGGAGCAGGTCAGGCAGATTAGAGACCTGAGCTGTTGTCTCAGCATGGCCACTAACTGTGACTGGTCATTATCTCTGAGCCTTGTTTTTTCACAGGTTAACTGACGGAGTTGCTGGATCTTTTTTTTTTTTTGAGACAGAGTCTCGCTGTGCTGCCCAGGCTGGAGTGCAGTGGTGCAATCTCGGCTCACTGCAACCTCTGCCTCCCAGGTTCACGCCAATCTCCTGCCTCAGCCTCCTAAGTAGCTGGGACTACAGGCACCCACCACCACGCTGGCTAATTTTGTTTTTGTATTTTTAGTAGAGGGGGGTTTCACCATGTTAGTCAGGATGGTCTTGATCTCCTGACCTTGTGATCTGCCCACCTTGGCCTCCCAAAGTGCTAGGATTACAGGTGTGAGCCACTGCGCCCGGCCTTTTTTTTTTTTTTTTTAATTTAAGAGATGGGGTCTCACTATGTTGCCCAGGCTGATCTTGAACTCCTATGTTCAAGTGGTCCTCCCACCTTGGCCTCTCAAAGTGTTGGGCTTACAGGCGTGGGCCACTGCACCCAGCCTAGTTGCTGGATCTTGACTGTGGTTAGTCTGTCTCACTGTGCCAACTGAAATGCTGCCAGTCATCGCCCAGGCCTTGCACATGTGTTCCTGTCCCATCTGGAAGGAACTCTCTTTCCAAGATGGTCTGAATTGTCATTCCTTCCCCTAGACCATGAGCTCCTCAAAGGCAGAGATGGTGTTGTTCACTCCTGGATCCCTGGCATCTTGGGGGATGCAGGTGTTTGTTGAATGAATGAATGAATGAATGAGTGTGGTCTCTCTGTCACAGGATAGAACACCTGGGACTCAATGTGGTGCTGCAGCTGCTGGTGGGGGTGCCCCTGGAGATGGTGCATGGAGCCACCCGAATTGGGCTTGTCTACGTGGCCGGCGTTGTGGCAGGTAGGCAGGTAGGCCCTGTGTCCACAAAGGCACATTGCCCCAGGGTGGGGTGGGAGACCCTGTGGGGTGGGACAAGCCCCAGGCTTCCAGGACACACAGAAGATCCTCATCTCCAAGGCTCCTGACTTACCGGGCTGTCCTCCAGGCACACGCACCTCCCCAGGAGGCTGGAGAGGGGACTGCTGCCCAGAGAGGGAGGTGTGTGGCAGGACGGGAGAGGAGAGCACTGGATTTGGGACAGGCTGGCCAACCGACTCAGTCTCACACCACCATGTGGTAGCTTCTGAGCTTGGGGAAATTTCCTAACCTCTTTTGGCCATGTTAAGCTTTAAGAGGGAACTAATGAGATCTGCCTATAGGGTTGCTCGGAGGGTGGAGTGAGTGAGGCAACAGATGGAACAACAGTGCTCTGATAACTGCAAGGGCACAGTGAGATCCCCAAGGGGGAATCAAAGGGGTGAGTAGCGCCAGGTACCGTCCTGGCCGCATAGCACCTGTCCCCAAAAGGAGAGCTGGCTGCTACCCAGACCAACCGCAGTTCCCTTGCCTGACCCACTGCTGACAGGGAGTCTGGCCTAAGAGGCAGTGAGCCCTGGCTCCATCTGAAGGCGTCTGGGCCTCCAGCTGACTGGGCACACATGTGGCAGGTGATCATCCTTCATGGATAGTGGCCAGAGTGACTTCCAGTGAGCCTTCCACCTTCTGCCCCTCCCCAGTGGGAGGTGAGGTGGGTGAAGTGAGCTGGGGAGAGCGTGGCTTGCCCCTCCCCAGTGGGAGGTGAGGTGGGTGAAGTGAGCTGGGCAGAGCGTGGCTTTCTGCAGGAAGAGTCTGCCAGCCAGGCCTCTGAACATGAGGATCTCCCTCGTGATGTCTCCAACTTTATTGCCAGCTGTTTTTTTTTTCTTTTTCTTTTTTTTTTTTTTTAACAAGGTTTGCCGCTTCAGCTCTTCAGCTTGACAGCTGTGCCCAAGGGAGCTTTGTGTGTATGTTTAAGTAAGATCTTAATCCTTTCTGAGTGGTATTAAAGTTGTCATCAGGAGAGCCGGGCAGTGTCAGCCTTGTAAACAAGAGGCAGGCAGGGACCCTGGGAGTAACTGAAGTGGTTTCAGAAATCAAAGAGGAAGGGTCCCACCCCACCCACAGGAGGCTGGTCTGCTAGTGCATGAACCCTTGACCCGGAAGATTCACCCTGCACCATCTCCTTCGCTCCTGTATGCACTGAGGTTAAAATCACTGGCACCTTGGACAGCACCCCTGCAAGCCCCTCCCAGAATCCAAGGCTCACCGCGTCCTTGAACAAAGGGCTAATGAGCATCTCTAAGTGCCAGACTTGTTCAGCCTCCCACACACCCCCTAATCCTGACATCTGAGGATTTATAGCCCCATTTTCCATACCTCAATACCCAGAGACCCAGATGTCAAATAGCAAGGAACAGGGAAGACATTAATAACATTTGCAGCCTTAGTATTCAATTAGATGGGAATGCCAATAACCTAGAAGACAAAAACAAGATTCAAACGGACTCAGACCTCACCCAAACCAGGTGACATGCAGTGGGGGGACATTGTAGGTGTCACCTCCCCAGTGACACCAGTGCAGAGTGGGAAGATTCAGACAGAAGCAGAGCTCATCACCTGAATGTGAGCATGTAGGGCTGTATCATTGAGCACATGGCATGCACTGTTCTGTCTGAGTCATTGATTAAGACCAGAGGGCACTCTGGTCACCACACATGTCACTGATCTCTATGATTGAGTTGATTGATCTGCCTCTGCTGTCTACCCTTTCCTGTCCTCCCAAGCTCTCCTCTGAGAGGGGAGCTGGTTTACAGCTAGCCAACCCTGGATTGGACGGGTGGCATTATCAGTGCCTACCATATGCAGGCTGTAATTCATCCACACGACAACGCTACAAGGTGGACACTGTTGCTCTCCCCCAGTACGGATAGGAAACCAAGGCTTAGAGGGCTAAGTGACTCGCCCAAGAAGACACAGTTAGACAGTGGTGGAGCTGGGCACACACCCAGGCTGTTTGACTCCCCCAGGCTGTGATCTCAATCACTACAATAGTGGGACGAGAACCAAAAGATGGGCCCTGTCCTTTTTGCAGTTAATTTATTGTCAGAAACCAAGGCAGACCAGGTGCAGTGACTCACACCTGTAATCCCAACACTTTGGGAGGTCAAGGCAGGAGGATCGCTTGAGTCCAAGAGTTCGAGGTCAGCCTGGGCAACATAGGGAGACCCCGTCTCTACAAAAAGCTTTTAAAAATATTAGCTGGGCATGGTGGTGTAGGCCTGTAGTCCCAGCTACTTGGGATGCTGATGCAGGAGGATCGCTTGAGCCCAGGAGTTCAAGGCTGCAGTGAGCTGTGATAACACCACTGCACTCCAGCCTGGGTGACAGAGCAAGACCCTGTCTCAAAAAAGAAAGAAAGAAAAAAACCAAAGGAGACCTTAATAGATGTCTGGCAGCCTTACTCTCTAATTCCTGCCCAGTGAAAGTGTTTCCAACCCACACTTTGTAACGAGGATAGCTAACCTCTATGGAGCATATACGTGCTCCAGGCATATGATGAGGGGTTCACGGATGTTCGTGGATGCTATTCTCATCACAGCCGGTGGGTACTGTCACTCCCATTTTACAGGCAGCCCAGAGAGGTGAAATGACTTGTAGATTTGCTTACCTGAGAAGTACTACAACTAGGGAGGAGCCCTTCCCAAGCCCTGTGCTTCTAACCAATGCTTGAGGCCAATGTGCAAATTACTTATGGCTAGCAATTATATGGCACACAATGTAGGTATTTTTAAAACCTGTATCTTGGGCCGGGCAAAGTGGCTCACTCCTGTAATCCCAACACTTTGGGAGGCGGAGGTGAGGGTATTGCTTGAGGCCAGGAGTTCAAGACCAGCCTGGGCAACATGATGAGACCCCATCTCTACCAAAAAAAAAAAAAAAATCAATATCTTAAATGCATCACCAATCTTATATTACAGATTGTATAGATTACTAACCACACGTGCATCCCCAGAGCCTAGCACAGGGCTTCGCACATGTTAGGCAATAAATATTTGTAGAATAAAGGAAAGTGGCCAGGCCTGGTGGCTCACACCTGTAATCCCAGCACTCTGGGAGGCCGAGGCAGGCGGATCACGTGAGATCAGGAGTTCGAGACCATCCTGGCCAACATGGTGAAACCCTGTTTCTACTAAAAATACAAAAATTAGCCGGGCATGATGGTGGCACCCGTAATCCCAGCTTCTCAGGAGGCTGAGGAAGGAAAATTGCTTGAACCTGGGAGGCGGTGGTTGCAGTGAGCCAAGATCGCATCATTGCACCCCAGCCTGGGCAACAAGAGTGAAACTCCATCTCAAAAAAAAAAAAGGAAAGATATGTAAATAAAGTTATATTACTTAAAGATAAATGTTCCGCCAATTTTGGGATTTTTTTTAAGGCCAAAGAAGATGTTGAAGAACACCTGCTTTAAGTTTTTCTGGGCTAAAATTATCACAGCTGTACACTATGGCCAAGTTGCCAGTTTATCTGTGTGCTGGCATGAACTTGGAATTTTGGGGTGCGGGATACAGAATTTGTAATCCTGAACTAAGGCCCATGGGTTGCCTCTGTGCAGAGGTGTGGCGTGTCACTCCAGTTCATTCTCTCCTGGTCCTCTGCCCCCATGACCTCTGTGGAATTCATACTGGTCTTATCTGCCTGTACCTGTTAGGATCATTCAGAGCTTGTGAAGGGATTCCTCCCTGACCCACACTTCCTGCCCAGGGAGGGCCTTTATTACTGTGTTTATGTGTACACAGCCCCATGTTTGTCTTTGGTCTCTCCCAGTTGCTCTAGTCCACGCCTTACCTGCAGTCACTGAAAGTCTTTGCTTTTTTTGTTTTTTGAGGTTTTTTTGAGACGAAGTCTTGCTCTGTCATCCAGGCTGGAGTGTAGTGGTGTGATTTCGGCTCACTGCAACCTCTACCTCCCAGGTTCAAGCGATTCTCATGCCTCAGCATTCCGAGTAGCTGAAGCTATATGTGTGTGCCACCATGTCCAGCTAATTTTTGCATTTTTTTTTTTTTTTTTTAGTAGAAATGGGGTTTCACCATGTTGGCCAGGTTGGTCTCGAACTCGTGATCTCAGGTGATCTGCCTGCCTCAGCCTCCCAAAGTGCTGGGATTACAAGGGTGAGCCACCACACTGGCCCAGAAGTCTTTATATCACCACTGGGGGGCAGGTGGATTCAGGCCGTTACCTTCGAGGTTCCAGAACCGGAACCCAAGCCTTGGCCCCTGGATCTTAGGCCAAAACTCAGGTCACTGAATTTCTGATCTGGAAGGAACCAGGGAGGTCCCCTCCAGCACTGGCAAACTGTTCCCTAGGCCGCGTCCCCACGTAGCCAGAGCTGCTGCCTGTGTTCTGCTCCATGGCTTAGGGCGTCCCTGAAAGGTTTGCTTTGAAGAGAATTTTGCTGCTCAAAAGTCGGAAAGCCTTAGACCTCACTCTATAGATGTGAAAGAAAACTGAAGCCCAAAGAATTCAGGGACTGTGCCCAAGGTCACACAGCTAGCTGGCCAGGCCCCTTCCATACTCCTGCCACAACCCGAAGCTGACCCTTGACCCTAGGGTCAGGACTCCGAGTGTGGATGGGGTGAGGGAAAGGTCAGGGTGTGCCAGCTTGACCCTGGCAGGGGCCCTTCCCTGCCTGGGGCTGCCCTGAGGCAGCTCTGCCTTGGTGGACCGCACTGGGGCAGGGGCGAAGGAGTGGACTCTGGGCGGGTTTGTACAGACCTGCTCTGCAAAGAGAGGCCAGCCTAGGGAGGCTGGGGCTTCCTCTGTCCAAAAGGTAATTAATGAGGAGCAGCCTGGGCAGCCAGCCCTCATTGCAGCCCCGCAATGCAGCCTTCGCAGACAGCCCCGCCAGGAGAGCGTGGGAAACCTTTATCATGCAGATCCTGCTGCCTGTTTGTTTGCCACCCTGGGATTTTTCTTTCGTGTTATATATGGCTGACCCTGTGGCTAAGCAGTAAAAAAAGCAAAAGAAAAAGAAAGTTATCTGACAATAGATCAATACCTAATTAAAGCCAGAGGGAAGGCATGAAAGATTTATAGTTGCCCTGGGAGGGGAGGAGGACTTGGGAGTCCTCAGTTCATGACAGGTTTTTTTTTTTTTAGAGATTACATCCCCCTTGAGACCAAGAATTGGTTGTAGGGAATCTCTTTCTTGAAGACCTCAGTGAGTAGGGGAGGCCTTGATGGAGGTGGGGGCAGGGGAGGTGGAAGAGTTTATCAGGGGGCTCTGCTGCCAGGTCCTTGGGTGCTCTGGTTGCTGGGCTGGGCCAAGCCTCCTCCTAAGTCCGTGGATCTTGCACCCCATAGAGCCTGCAGAATTTGGCTTTCTGCCTGTCCCTCCTTTCTCCAGCAGCTAATTGGCTCTTGAGCCCGCAGGCATTTTCCAGTGGTAATTTCTGCACACTCACCCAGGCCAGCCACCTCTCATCCTCTGAGCCCTGGGCTCTACCTCCTAGTTATTTTTAGTCTCCCATGTCCTTCCCTGGAAGCCAAAGCATTGATCACACTTAAATGAGACCAGAACAATAAATTTCCCCTCTTCTCTTTGCTCAGCTTCCCTCCCAGGACAAAAGTTTGTCATCCCCCAGACCAAGCCTCGCATACCCTTCCTTTCCCCCAGAGGGTATGACATCATCTCTTTCTCTTCCCTGTGACTTTTCAAGGACATGTTTCTTCCAAAGGAGCCCCACTTGAGAGATGCTGTTGGCCTTTTGTGATTTAGCTGGGCTGGAGGAAGGGTGGAAGTAACCCTAAGTAAGCAGTTTTCTAGATGCTGTTGAACAGAGGGAGAGATGGAAGCGGGTGGAGGTTAACCTCTGGGCCAGTTTGGGGCGTGGCTGCTAGAGAGGCCAAGAGTGCGGGCTTTGGTCAAGAACACAGGTGGGTTTTGCATCAGGCAGACCCAGACAAATCCTGGTTCTAGCACTTCCTACCAGGAGACTCTGGGCTCAGTCTCCTCATCTTGGGAATGAGGCTACTGGCACCTGCCTCAGAGGGCTGTCTTGAGGGTTGAAGGGAAGAAAGTCTGTAAAATGTTTGCCTGGTATCCATGTCACCTAGGTGGCAGCTGTTTCTGCAATAACTACTGCTACTATTTTTGTTATGGTTCCAGAACCCTGACATAACACCATGTCAGGCAGAGGTTGGGTTGAGAGGCAGATAATCCAGGTAGAAGTCTGAATTTTACTTTGGGCTGGACACTTCCCTCTTTTGAGTCAAAGAATCAAATGGTTCTTTCAGCCAGAAATTAATCCTCTAAGAAATGCATTGGAGGCAGGGCTCTGTGGCTCACACCTGTAACCCCAGAACTTTGGGAGGCTGAGGCAAGAGGATTGCTTGAGTCCAGAAATTTGAGACCAGACTGGGCAACATAGTGAGACTCTGTCTCTACAAAGAAAAATACAAAAATTAGCTGGGCATTGTGGCGCACGACTGTAGTTCCAGCTACTTGGGAAGCTGAGGCAGAAGGATCACTTGAGCCCGGAGGTCAAGACTGAAGTGAGCTTACCGTGCCACTGCACTCCAGCCTGAGTGACAGAGTTAGACCCTGTCTCCAAAAAAAAAGAAAGAAAAAGAAAGGAAAGGATCGAGGGAGGGGAAGAGGGAGAGAGGGGAGGGGAGGGGGCAAGGGGGGGGAATCTCCCAGGCAACATGGACTCAGAGGAGGAAGAGGTGGAGCCTCTTGCTCTGGAGTCTTAGCATGGAGCCTGCAGAATCCAAGGCCTGGGGCTGGGGTGGGTGAGCCGAGTCCCGCATTCCTGAGAATTCTCGTTGTCTTTCTGTACTAGGGTCCTTGGCGGTATCTGTGGCTGACATGACCGCTCCAGTTGTGGGCTCTTCTGGAGGGGTGTATGCTCTCGTCTCTGCCCATCTGGCCAACATCGTCATGGTGAGCACCTCCCATTCTCAGCGTGTCTTTCGGGCCCTGTCCTCTGCCATCACTGGGCCTGAGTATTAATCCACTGGAGCTGGCTCACCAACAGCCAGGCAGACCTGCCCTGGAGCAGAGTTCTCACACGCTCCTCAGCCTCTGCAGGCCCATTTCAAATGGGTGCCTTCTGAATGTGATTCCTGTTTTCTGCAGTCATGGCTTGGCCTAGGACCGTGCCCATCTCCTTCTTCTGCCTCTTTCCCATTCACTGACGTTAAAGAGTTAACATTTGGCCACTAGCGTATATGGCCATTGGAATTGCTTATTTATCATAGATTGTTAAAAGGGCCTTAGAGATTATCTTCTCAAAATTCAAAAGGTTAAGTGACTTGTCCAAAGTCACAGTTAAGTTTGTGGCAAAATGAGGGCTTGAACCCATATCTCCTGACAACCATTCAAGAGTTGTTTCCTGGCCAGGCGCGGTGGCTCACGCCTATAATCCCAGCATTTTGGACGGCCGAGGCAGGCGGATCACAAGGTCAAGAGATGGAGACCATCCTGGCCAACATGGTGAAACCCCGTCTCTACTAAAAAAATACAAAAATTAGCTTGGCGTGGTGGCATGCTCCTGTAGTCCCAGTTACTTGGGAGGCCCAGGCAAGAGAATTGTTTGAACCTGGGAGGCAGAGGTTGCAGTGAGCCGAGATCGCGCCAACGCACTCCAGCCTGGCGACAGAGCGAGACTCCATCTCAAAAAAAAAAAAAAAAAAAGAGTTGTTCCCCTGTCCCAGCCTGTCATGGGAGGAGGGCAGCACTCCATTTCTTATCCTCTGCCTTTTCCTGGAAGGTAGTACAGTGTGATAGTGAAGGACATGGGCTGTGGAGCCAGTCAGCCTAGGTCTAAATCCCTGCTACACTCTGGGCAAATTACTTAACGACTTTGCACCTCACTTTCTACACCTGTGAAATGGAATGGGAGCTGGGCACAGTGACTCAGGACTGTAATCCCAGCAGTTTGAGAGGCTGAGGTGGGCAGATTGCATTGAGCTCAGGAGTTTAAGACCAGCCCAGGCAACATGGTGAAACTCCATCTCTATAAAAAATACAAAAATTAGCCAGGCGCGATGGTGCATGCCTATAGTTCCAGCTACTCCAGAGGCTGTGGCTGGAGAATCGGTTGAGCCTGGGAAGTGGAGGTTACAGTGAGCAGAGATTGCACCACTGCACACCAGCCTGGGCAACAGAGTGAGACCCTGTCTCAATTTTAAAAAAAAGAAAGAAAAGAAATGGAATGATGTACAGTAAATGAGATAAAGTTCAAATAACCACCTATATAAATGTAAAATTAATTTCCTTCTCCTGACAGAAGAGGCCAGAATGGGCTCAGACTAGACAAAGCCTTGAAGGCCAAAAATTGGGATCTGATAGTCTTAGAGGATGTCAAAATCCTTTTTTTGGAGGCAATCTGAAGTCTGAAGGCTGATGGAGGAGTCAGTGGCTAACCCTGCCCAACCCCTCTGCTGGCCTGGGAGCCTCCAGGTCTTAGTTGTCTGTTTCCCCAGTACCTGGCTTACAGCTGGGACCATGGTAGATGGTGCCCACTACATTTTAGTGAATGAAGGAAGGAAGGAACAATGTCCAGAAAAGGCATAGCTTTTCTTTGGGGTCCTCCTGTTCTCACCCACTCCTCCATCAGTGTCTTCGCCCACGTGGCAGATGTTTGAATGCTCAGTGATCGCAGTGCACAGGGCTTGGAGTTCCTGAATTATCCCATGTTTTTCTTCCTTATCAATCTCACTGTCACCCACCCTGCTCCCAACCCTGTCCCTTTTGTTCTCATCAAAATGCCCATTGTACATTGAGCAAGAGAAGAGAGAGCACAAGAGGGAGGGGAAAAGAAAGGAAGAGAGGGGGAGAGAGAGACACTGAGTACCTGCCTACACTTGCTACTGGCCTGAATTTTGGCACCTTCAGGTGAGTGCTCAGAGAGAGGCTGCGGGTGTTGGGAAACGTGGAACGGTGAGCCTCTCAGTGTGTGTGCGCAGGTGTGTTTGCACATGCACACAGCTCAGTTTGTTGAAAACCCGAGCGTATGGGCTGCCTCCCATGGCCCTTTTAAATGGGTCATTCTGTATCAGTGCCACATCTTTCCCCAGACACAGCTTTTCCTCTGAATTCTGCCTCCTCCACTCCCCCCTCCCCCTGCCCCAATTCCTTTCAGTAGGGGAAGGAAATGCTAACCTCCTCCCTCCCATTCCGCCCAAGACTTGTATGTGTGTAGGGGTGATGAACAAGCTCAACTGAAAGAGAACACAGGGAGGAAGACACAGCCTGGAGTTCATAACGATGCCCTGTTCCCACCCTCTTCCCCACCTCATGGGAAACAGCCCTGATGGCCCAGAAGTTCCCATGGTGAAGTCAGACCACCCATGGACCATGGAGTAGGGCATGGGGGTCGAGAGAGGTGTAAGAGCGGTTTTGTTCCAGTTGACGCTTCTGTCTGGCAAGTAGCCCATGGCCTGCGGCTGTGGAGACCGGCAGCCCCATCTGAGCCCAATGCCTTCCAGAAGCAAATGGCTTTCCCTAGCCAACTGGGAGCTGTGCAGTCCCCAAAGCATGACACATGGGAAGCCCTTCTCTAGGAAGTTGTATGGGCTGGGCGCGCTGGCTCACACCTGTAATCCCAGCACTTTGGGAGGTCAACACAGGCAGATCGCTTGAGCCCAGGAGTTCAAGACCAACCTGGGCAACATCTCTACCCATCTCTACCAAAGCTACAAAAAATCATCCTGGTGTGGTGTCATGCACCTGTGGTTCCAGCTACTCTGGAGGCTGGCTGAGATCACCTGAGCCAGAGAGGCAGAGGGCCGTGAGCTGAGATTGCGTCTCTGCATTCCAGCCAGGGCAACAGAGTGAAACCCTGTCTCGAAAGAAAGAAGGAAAGTTATGTGGTATTTATTGACGATGAAAGAAAACTCATTGTCTCATTAACAAGGTTGATTTCTCTTGGTCAAGAGGCTACCTTTACTCTAACTAGTTCAGTGCCAAGCAGTTCAGAGATGCGTTGGGTCGACCCGTATGAAATTGCCCCTTCTGGCCGGGTGCGGTGGTACAAGCCTGTAATCCCAGCACTTTGGGAGGCCAAGGTGGATGGATCACAAGGTCAGGAGTTCGAGACCAGCCTGACCGACATGGTGAAACCCCGTCTCTACTAAAAACACCAAAATTAGCTGGGCATGGTGGTGCACGCCTGTAATCCCTGCTACTCAGGAGGCTGAGGCAGTAGAATCACTTGAACCCAGGAGGCAGAGGTTGCAGTGAGCCGAGATCACACCATTGCACTCCAGCCTGTGCAACAGAGGGAGACCCTGTCTCAAAAAAAAAAAAAAAATTGCCCTTTCTATGGGCCGTCAGCATTTGAATAGTGGCAATTTCATGTGGTTCTACCTAATAGATATACTATTGTTTTCAGCTTCAAAAGGAAGATTTGAAGAGAGTGTGTGTGTGTGTGTGTGTGTGTGTGTGTGTGTGTGTATATGTGTGTTATACACAGTAAAGTACCTCATCAGAACTAAAAGAAAAAGCATAGATTTGAGAGAAAATCCACATTTGAGTACCAGTGTCACCATCTTAATAGCTATGAGTCTATTACTCAACTTCTTGGAGCCTCAGTTGTCTCATCTGTAATCCCATCTTCACAAAACGATTGTTTGGGAGATGAGAAAATGGACAAAATATTTCAACAAAAGATCTGGAATGTGAAAAGCCCTATAATCAAGACTTCTTTTTTTTGAGACAGGATTTCGCTCTGTCGCCCAGGCTGGAGTACAGTGGCACGATCTCAGCTCACTGCAACCACCACCTCCTGGGTTCAAGCGATCCTCCTGCCTCAGCCCCCCAAGTACCTGGGACCACGGGCTCGTGCCACCATGCCTAGCTAATTTTTTTTTTTAAATTTTTTTGTAGAGACAGTTTCACCATGTTGCCCAGGCTGATCGTAAACTCCTGAACTCAAGCGATCCACCTGCCTCTGCCTCCTACAATGCTGGGATTACAAGCGTGAGCCACCATGTCCCACCAAGACTTCTTATTTTAAACACTAGAAAGATACAGACACACCTAATTGAATACTTTATTAATTGCTTCCTGCTGGCCAGAATTCCATTTTTTAATCTACAAGATATTTACTTACACTTTGCTCTGTATGATTGATGTTTTCCCAAAATATTTGAGATCTGAATTTTCACAAACTGAACCATATTGTCAAAGCACAAGTGAAGATGGTTGCCTAAAAGACACTAAAGATTTGTTATAAGCTTTACTTTATTGGCCCGGCGCAGTGGCTCATGCTTATAATCCCAGCACTTTGGGAGGCCGAGGCGGGCAGATCACGAGGTCAGGAGTTCGAGACCATCTTGGCTAATATGGTGAAACCCCATATTACTACAAAATACAAAAAAAATGTTTGGGTGCAGTGACTCACGCCTGTAATACCAGCACTTTGGGAGGCTGAGGCAGGCGGATCACAAGGTCAGGAGTTTGAGACCAGCCTGGCCAATATGGTGAAACCCCATCTCAACTAAAAATACAAAAATTAGCTGGGTGTGGTGGTGGGTGCCTGTAGTCCCAGCTACTCGAGAGGCTGAGGCAGAAGAATCGCTTGAACTTGGGTGGCGGAGGTTGCAGTGAGCCAAGATTGCGCCACTGTACTCCAGCCTGGGCGACAGAGTGAGACTCCGTCTAAAAGAAAAAAAGAAAATACAAAAAATTAGCTGGGCTTGGTGGTGGGCACCTGTGGTCCCAGCTACTCAGGAGGCTGAGGCAGGAGAATGGCGTGAACCTGGGAGGCAGAGCTTGCAGTAAGCCAAAATTGCACCACTGCGCTCCAGCCTGGGTGACAGAGTGAGGCTCCATCTCCAAAAAAAAAAAAAAAAAGGTTTACTTTATTAAGGAAAAATCCTTTTGTAGGACAAAGAATCACTCCCTAATTTATCTGTGTCATGCTCTCACATTCCCTG